GCTCAGTCTCTCACATATTTTTTTTCCCTAATTTATGGAGTGATTTTGTAGACGTTCTGACACAGGTTACTTAATTTGGAGATTTAAGTAGATTTTTAAAAATGCAATTAAAAGGATCAAACATCTAACTGTCAGTGTATTAGTCTGGTTCTCCTCACAGCTGAACGTTTGAGCTATTGCAATGTCTTAATATGACTACTACTTTTAACTAAAAATAAGTATCTGGGAAAGGTGTCAGAATCACCATAATTATGGCTTTTAATTAAAATCTAATTAAAATTCATCCAATAGCTTGAAAACATACCAAATCGTAGCCTACCTTCCTCTCTAGAGGTATCACAAGGGCTGCCTTCCTAGCCCCAACTTAACTCCAAAAAAAAGGTTACAGAGTTACTTGCAACTTGCAACCTTTTATTGATTAAGAGAGTTCCATCTTAGTATTTTTGAAAGTTTTTATAGCACCAAACAAAAATCCACTGGAAATATTGTATTATTATTATACAAAGTAACCAGGTTTTTGTCTTAACATTCAGGCTGTCATTATCCACATGCACACACAAAGGGCAAAAATGATTTTTCTCTCCTTTCTAGCTGTTTTTGGCAGCTATTTTTTTTTTTTAACATGTAGCTCCCTGCTGATGTATGCTATTGAGTACATCTTAGGTAATAGGCAGATATATCAAAAGATATCCAGGGCAACACATCCTGCTGAAAAACAAGAGATTACTTCATGCAGATAAGTACCTTCTGACATATGCATCAGAAATGTTTTTCCCGGTGCTCTCTCTCTATAAGACATCAGTTAGATGTTAGTATTCTGTGGCCATTTTACTTTTCAAAAGGGGTTTCTTTTTAGTCTAATATAAATTGTGTCCAAAAACTTGAACAGCTTTACTTGAATTGCTTTAATTTTTCTTACTTGTAGCTCCATCGCCTTGTGTTGTCTGCCTTCAGTTGCAGGGAATGTTTTATGTGCTTATTTTTCTTGTCAGCTTGGTTTTGAAACCATGGTGAGCCAAACATTATTGTATTTGTTGCTGTGTAACAGAGAAGATAGTCACAGCTCCAAAAGCCTCAGTTTTTGTGTATAAAACGAATTACAGGAGATGGGTATTGATCCAGGAGAGGATTGCCAGTCATTAGGATGGAGAATAGCCTCAAAAAATCACAGAGCCTTGCTGAAGACTTTTTTCAGGCGTTATGGTGAAGGACATCTTGAAAGAAGGTTTAAAATAAATTTGCTAATGTTCACAGAAAATTCTAGTAACTGGACATTGGATGATATCGTGGGTTGGTGAGAGAAAAGGTATTTTTGTTGACCTTTTTGTGCCAAGAGGCTGTTGTAAATCTGAATGCAGTGAAAGAAAGATGGTATGTTCAGTGTTATAATGCTTTGCTGGTCCTTGAAAATGTAGGGAAGTGGCTTTTGCTTGAAATGACTGAGAAGAGGGATGTGGAGAGAAGTGAGCTGGTCACAGGGGTAGTTGACGCTCATGATCTTTGCAGCTGCCTGAAGGGATTAGCTATTAAGATGAGTGCATTCATTGTATAATACAGAAAATTGTGCGTTTTAAGAACAGGAAAGAATCATGTAAGGTTTACACATAATTTGGTAAGAGGACACAGAGAAGATGAATAGTGATGCTCAGGTTATGAATGGTTTGAGTGACAAAAAGGGTGGTGACATCGTCAGTACTGATACTTACTGCGAGGAAATTTTCACAACTATCTCCAGTTGGAAGTAATGGTATGGCATATGCAAGGGGAGTCTGTGCCTTTTAAAAATAAGTCTCTAACCTCCTGTAATGTAAGAGGGTGTATCCTGGTAAAAAAAAGAAAAAAAAGAAAAAAAAGATTATTCCCTTTTTTATTCTTTTATAAATTATCTTCTTCCATTAGCACCTGGTACTTTTTTTAGTAGCCATTAATTCTGTCAAAAGGGAAGCTACTGAAAAGCTTCACCTTTTGGTGTCAAATTCAGTTAGGAGTCAATCCTTCTTAAAAAAGGGGGAGGAAGGGAAAAACCGCTTCTGACAGAAGTGCTATTGCCTTTAGTATAATTGAGCAAATCATTAACATATCCTCTTTGGTCAGTGCTAGAGTTGATCAGCAGTATCACCGCTGAAAACATATGCTGCTGCAAATGTGAACTTGTTTTTGTTAAAATACACTGCGATGTGGTGAACAAATTCATGGTACCAAAAATGGGGCCCCTTGATACGGTGCTGATTGTGGGATTTATTATTCTGTTATTTAAGTTTATGGTATGTTGCTAGGTCAGGAGAAGGGTCACAGTTCTCAGATATAGCACAGCCTTAAAAAATACTCAGAAAGACCAACAATTGCAGAATGTGAAACAAAAATATTATTCAGACTTGCTCATAAGGTTTTAATTTTCTTGAATTATCTGAAGTGTGATAACAGCTTGGTCCTGAAGCACACACAGAAGCTCTGTTTAGCATTCCCAGGCCTCAGAGCAGTTTCTACAGTTGAACTTCCTTCCTTAAAATGGAGAGTTTTATAAAAGCAAATACCATGTTTCTGAGGCATACTGGAATGACAGTCTTCTCTTTGCAGGTCAGACGTACAGCAGACAGTGACGAAGTCAGTGTTCCCACGCTGCCTGTGCCATCTGCTGACATTTTGAAAAATGTCCATCTAACTGTTCATCTTCTTAAGATAAAAAGCTATTGACATTCTTAATTTTGAGGTCATTCTTGATACAACTTGCTTATCAGGCTTTTGTGGGTTATAACAACATCATTTATATCATCCTTCCAGTGTGTCATGGAGAAGGACCAGAAATAATTATTTTTCTTGCATTTGTACAAACTCATTCTATTTCATGTAACAGACCTTCATAGGTGTTGAGTTTGCTATCTTAATTAGAAGAAAAGGAGTTAGTACTTTTAATGTTAGTGCTGAAATAGTGAAAGATAGTTGCCATTGTTTGTCTTACTATTTTAAGTAATTGTGAAAAGATTTGTTCAGGTGATTTCTTAGATTACAAAGATGGCACCTTGAAGTCTTCATAATACAGATAGTATTTTAAGGCTGTTTCCAATTTGGTTCCCCAAATTCAGATACCACATATCTTATTTACTCAAACTACAAGATAAGTATCTAAATGCATACTCATATAGATTTAGAGCTGCTAATGTCAGTGCTCAGCTACAGAATACTATATTTATAAGGTTTAACATGCCATTAAATAATATGGACATAGAAACTTTAGATGGCTTTAGGTAAAGGAATTAAAATATCAATTGGTATGCTTGTAGCTGTCAAAAATACAAAAGTAACCATGTGATTTGGGCAGTACACATTCAAAGGTAAAGTGTCAATTAAATTAAAGAAAAAATATTGCCAAAATACGTAATTGGTACATGACAGCTTGTATGTCTTTGCTGGAGAAGCAATTGTGAGGAGACCTGTTGGTTTCTTTTATTTTGTTTTTCCCCACTTTCAGCTACTTGCTATCATTTGAGGTTTCAGTTGCTTGACATAGAATTGGTGGATAATTAGTAGTGTGGATAGCTGTGAAAAGCATATGTAGTAATTTAGTTCTTGGTTCTTTCTAATTGTATGCCCATCGGTAGTTTGCTAGGGTGAGTAGCTCATTATTCAGACATTTTAAATGGAAAGTACTGTAGAAGGAAAAATGTTCCTATTAGTACCAATGTATTGAAAATCAAAACCTTTTAAACAAACAAGTCATTATTTGACAAATCTGTCCCTAAAGCTATTGTTCACATACTGTAAGGAGACTGGGGTTTGTGAGGGGGAGATGAAGGGTAGGGTAGGCAGATAGAGTAAATCTTTCACTGTGTCTGAAATAAGGATGTGTCACTTTTTTTTGAAAAGATAATAAAGGTGAATACAATAAAATACATCCAACTGGGCAAGCTTCATTTGTTAAGGGTAAACAACTAAAATTAATAGACCTGAAGGGTGAACCTGTGCTATTAATTAAGGTTGACCTTGAAGTCATTTTAAACTTCAAATATGCAAACAAATTTTACAGAAAACATTTTAGCTTGCCGGCAGGGGTACTTCCTTCTGAATCTAATGCCTTCTGAGGTTGTTCATCCTGCTGTTCAATCCACTCATTTTGAAGTGTGTTTAGAACTTATAGGCATGATGTAGTATTCATGCACAGCAGTCTCCACAACTCCCTGTGTCCTGTGGCACTTGCCTGTGACTAGAGAGAAGACTGGTTCTTGAGCTGGTACTTTGATCAGATGCAAAGTATACCCTAGTCAAGGAAGACCATCTTACAGAACTCTATTTGGCTCTTAACCTTAAAGTTTTATCTGAAATATGAGGATATTTTCATTAAAAGTTTGAATATTTCTTTTAATGTTTAAACCTAATAATATACTACTGAATGTTACCAGAGTATCCTATGTTTTTGTAGTAGTATGATTTGAAGGATTTGAAAGCTCATTGGGAGACACATGGCTTTTCTATTATCAGATTTTCTCACATACTAGTAGATTTGTTCATAAAAGCTCTTCACCTGTCAAAATGTACTATTTCATATGAAACCTTAAAACATAGCACTGTTGTTTGGGTCAAGTTAATTTTGAAACAGACACCGGATCTCCTTAATCTTCTCACTTGATTTTACATTCTTTTTTTAGCTTTAATGAGGTGGAATAAGTATCTGAATGTCTTCATTTGTATAATTTTTCTTCAAGCATATATTTTATCAATCTAACAGTTAATTGCAATCAACCTTATGCTTCAGATAATTTTTTTTTTCCAGTTACTTACTCCACTTGTGACGTTAACTTAAAGGATTCAGGTTGATGTCACACTTTGCTGTGTAATTTGGACATCGAAATAGATGTTCCCAGTTTCACCATATTTAACAACTAACATATCTGAATGTATTGTTTTCAAATAACATGATGTCATTTACTTCTAATCTTAATGTTTTCTTTTGGGAAAAAATGTAACTTTTTTCTTTTCTGCATTTTTTTTTTCTTTTTTAACAGATTTGAAGAACTTGTGAAGAAGTTCAAAGTAGAATATCATGCTGGTGGTTCTACTCAGAATTCCGTTAAAGTCGCCCAGGTTTGTTCTTCCTTAAAAAAGAGTTATTGGTAATTTTAAGTGTTGAGTTTGAATCAACTTGATGCTCTGTATTGTCTGTATTTGTCATGAGCATGACTGAGTGGGTGCTTGTCATTCTGTTGCTCAGACTATGCTTGTATTTTTTGACATGATTTATTTTACAGTTATGCTCTCTATTCTTCTCACACACTTTCCATTAAGGTTACAGTTACAACTACAATATACCCAGGAATGGAAGGGAGGGTTTTAAGGAAGATTGAGCAAGGCTTTTGTCAAAGGTGTATGGTGGAAGGGGAAGTAGCAAGGATTAGGTCCCTAGCTGCAGTTAGGACTCTTCCAGTAAGGAGTAAAAAAGTCACAATGAGAATCGTTAAAAAAAGAAGTTGCTGAATCCCTGTGCTCTGAGATTTTAATAATTTACCATTATGAGTCCTTGGGTAATCAGATCTAAATTTGAGGCTGTCCCTGCTTTGAGTTGTAGGTTGCACTAGAGATCTGCTGAAGTCCCTTCTGGCCTGCACACTTCTGTGATTCTAACCACATTTACCCCATAAGAGCTTGAAAATTTGTCCATAAAATATGAAAATACAGAAAGTTTGTTGGGGCATTGGTTTGGGGTTTTTGTTTTTGTTTGGTTTTGTTGTTGTTGTTGTTGTTTGTTTGTTTGTTTTACAAGGATAATGTTTCTGGTATGGATATGGTGAATAGCAGTAATGATGAATTGAGTTTCATGTGTTCTGGCTTTTCTATGACTAAAGTGTATGCCTTTTGTCACCATTCTCTTAAGCATATACCTGAGTGTATATTTTTAGATTGTGATAGATGTACAAATCCTATAAATAAAAAATATCTAAACTGTATTTATAACCTTTTTCTTAATGATTCTGGCTTATTAGCTTCCAGATTTCCTGTATAAGTAAAACTTACTGCCAGATAGCATTAAAAGCACATTTGGAAAAAATTAAGTTACAGTTTAACAAAGGTTACTTTGCCTATAAGCAGGGAAAAAAGTAATTATAGTATTAATTGCTGTTCCTTTGTACAAAGCAGTTGCTGCTTCTTTACTAAGGTTTTAGTTTTCTGAAACCACAAATATCTTGAAAATAATTCTGATATAAACTTTTCACAACAGAGGGAAGTCTGAGTTGCTTGTGTTCTGTTGTATGTAGCATTCTAATTCTGAAATGGTTATGTAATGAGGGTTTCTTTGTTAGGTTTTTTTGTTGTTTCTTTGGTGGGGTGTTTGTTTACTGTGTGGTCAAGCCAAGTTTTTGCTTCTGATACTTTAAAAAGTCTCCCGCAGGAGAGCTCAAGTTACTACATTAGTTCTGTGTCAGTATGACTGTTGCTTGACCTCTGGGGATGCTATAGAGCTGGTGTCTCTTCCATGACAGCTGATTTAGAGGTCAACTTTTTGAAGGGAGTTCTGCAACTGTTTTGTGGTTCAGTGGCATGAAATTTTGCTTCTGTTCCTACATCTAGGTTGAGGAGGTTTGGAAGCAAATGCATGCAGTACACTCAGAATATCTAAAGTTTGAAACGTTCTAAGAGTTCCATTTCTCTTTGAAGTGACCTCTTTGGTATCAGCTAATTTATTAGCAAGCTATATCTCATACTTAACTGTCTTCTAATCTATCAGTTCAGGTGTTGTTCAATAATTATAGTATGAAGTACACAGAACCTATCTAGAGTCAATGAGAGATGAAAATTGAACCCATGAAATGTAAGGCTTTCTGTGTCAATGCTCCTTTCTTATACTGATTGAGTTTTGTCAGTGAACTTTTCCTTTACCTTGGCTTTGAGTTCATAGTCTCATTTAGCTCTAGTTGCCATCTGGAATTGTATTTGTCTCCAGAAGGGTTGTCATCTCCTAGTTTTTTGTTTCAAATAAGATTGAAACTTCAAACAGTTGTGCATGAATAACATAACATCACTAAGAGGCTTTAAAAAGAGGGATGGGAGGGTGAGAGAGAGAAAAGTGTGTTCTGGAAATCTTGAAAGAAGCTGTTATTCTGTAAGCTTTCACAGACAAAAAAAATGTGAGGATAGAAAAAAAACTTTAACTGTAAACTAGAAATTAAACTAGAAATTCTGGAAGAATTTTTGCAGGAATGTTCACTGGCATATTGGAGAGGAGTGTATAAGTAATCTTATATCTGAATAACTTACATATTTGTTGAAAGTACAGGGAGAAAGCAAAGACTGATTCAAGAAGCCTGGCTGGGGGTTGAGAAGTAAAGGACCAATAGGTTAGGTCAGAGCTCTGAGGTACCCACACTCTAAGTGAATGTGGATTATTTGTGAGAAGAAACATGGGGAAGAAATCCTAAGAATACAGCTTTTCTTATTTTCCTCAACTTGTGTTACTTGATGGGAAAAGCTTGCAGAAGTCTGCTAAAAGCTGAGAGATAAAAACTAAAAAAGTTTGTTGGAGCTGTTTAAAAGTTGATGGGAAATAATGGCATTTTAAAGAAAAGCGTCTTCAGAAGCGTGACTGTAATGGAATACAACTGTCTGAGTAGAATGGTTGGAAACGATCAAATGGCCTCTGAAGTCTGGCAGTTGTGTTTTTAAAAGTTCATTTCTGAGTGGGAAGAGTATATCATTCAGAAGTGTAGCAGGAAAATTGGAGAGCAATTAATGATCGGAATAAAAAGAATTATAAGAAGTGCTGCAAATAAGGTCATTGAAATGTTTGTTTCAAATAGTCTGGTTCTTTAAGGGTCAGAAAAGCAGCACCAAGTTGAAACAAAAATACACAAAGTCAAAATGGGTTCAGAAACTTACAATATATGTGTTTAGAAAAGGAAAATGAAACTGTCAAATGCCTGTTTGCATAGTGTATGTTGATCATCACTTGTTACACATGGTCATGTAGTTTGGATATTTCTTTTGTATCTACAAAGGTAGTGAAATGTACTCAAGAAAGACTCTGCCCCTGTCAAGGAGAAACCAGCTTCTTAGAAAAAAAAAAAAAAAAAAGGAAAAGGGAGTGAGTAGGGAAAAAAAGTCTTAGGAATACTGTATTTATCATCTGTGAGGAATTTGTGATAGTAATCACAGAAAGAGGCAATCGGAAGAAACACTGAATAATGAAGAAAGCTGGGAAGAAAATGAAGCTTAAATCATGGGGTTTGGAGCTAAAAGTTAAAGCAGCATCAACTGTAATGGAAATGAAGATTTTAGAAGTTTACAAAGAATTAAGCAGAATTGCAGTCAAGCTGTGAAAAGTGGAATTAGTGGGGTTTTTTTCTTAGCATGTTAACAGAAAGGAAAGATGTAAAGTACAGCCTTGAAGGAAGAATTTGGCAGGTAAGTTACTAAAAGGGAATCGGTATTTTTCAATATTGTCTTGCAGCAGAGCAGAAGTTAGAGTGTGTGGCGCACTGCAGGAGTGAATGATGGTTGGAGAGCTTTGTGAGAATCAAAATGATGAATGTTGACTGCCAAAAGTGAGCATTATGCGGACAGGGTATCTCAGCAGGGTCAGAAAAAGAAAAAGCTCTGGACATATTGAGGACAATAAAAAAGTGTGTGGTTTGGGGGTTTTTTGTTCTTTTTTTTTTTTTTTGTAGGAATGCTTCTAATGTACAGTGGCAAAGACATTTTTGAAAAATAAAATTCAGAAGCAGTCAAAAGATAATTAGAGGAAAAGCTCTTTAAAGGGATAGGAAGGAACAAATAAAAAACTGTGTTGCCAAGACTTGGATTAAAAATTGAAAGTATGGAAGATCATAAAAGGGTGGAAACCTGGAATGTCGCATTCTCACTTTTCAGAAGTGTATTATATAAATGTTTTATAAGTACAATATTATTTTTTTAAAACACCTGAAAATGGTGAAAGGGAGTACCAAGAGCAGTATAAAAGTAATGAGGAATAGTATTCAAGCCAGTAAGATAGGATGTTTATGTTCAGAAGATAGGATGTTTATGTTCAGGTTCTCTTGGATATTAATGTTGTTTGAGCATACAATCATCTTGGAAAGAGTAAGGAAGTCAAAGTGATTTTCACTTGACCTAGCTCATATTACAAATGAGGAGTTGGGTGAGGAGGGAAGTAGTGATTGGTATATTCCAGAAATGACAGTAACAGCATAAAAATAAATTAGATTGCATTTTATTTACTCTTTAAGAGTTTAAATTAGGGCAAATTGTGTCTTGGGTATACTAGTTCATGTTAGGAGAGGAATAGTGACAAAAGAAATGAAGAAAGCATAGACAGAAAAGTGTGTGAAGGAAAATACAAATTCCTTTGAGGAGGTAGAAGATAAGTAACCAGGAAAGAGAAAAACAGTGTGAAAATCTCACTGTTGGTCTGATTCTGCATCCCTCATTGTCCTATCCTTATTTCTTCCTTACCGTTCTGCTTTTCCTTGTCCACTCTGATCTTTCTTGGGTGTAAATTTGTTCATCTGGAAAAGAAAAGATGGATAACCGGAACAGATTTAGTACATCCAAGGCCTAAAGGAAAAAGTCTTATTGAAATAAATTTCTTTCTGTTTACTGCGTTAGTACTGAATGGAAGAATAGAGACAGACCATAAAGAATGGGGGGAGTGGAAGAGGAATAATGGTTAAGGGCTTTCCTGAGTGCAGCACAATATAAAAACCAATTGGAATCCAGATTATTAGAAATACCAAGTTTATCAGATATGAAAATGCAGGTAATAATACACTTCTAGAGATGCTATGTTACTATTAGACAGAGTTGTTGGTATTTTCTTTTTCTCTTAACCCACTGGTAGGGAGTGTTAATAACTTCTCTGGATCAAGCTTTAATTAATCAGTTATAATTCACTGAAAACTGCTTGATAGTATTTTGGAAAATGAGGACTACAGATGATGAACTGAATTGCAGTCACTTAGATTCTGGAATAGAAATGAAGGCTTAACTTTCCTGTTTTCTTTAGTGATCTTGGCATTAGAGTTATCCCTCATACAAACTTTCAGTTTTGCTTTGTGTTTTAAGTCAAAGTTATGATGCATGGTTAAAAACAAGGA